TGAGTTTGCCTGTCATTCTTGTTCGACTTCTTGGCGCCGGGCTGCTTCCTGGCTCTTCCTTCTCTTCTCGCACCGCCCTCCTGCCTTCCTTTTATCGTCTGCTTGTTGCTTCCTCCTTCGTCGTTCGTGGCTTTTCTTGTACTAATCGTCTGGGTGGTGCTGAGTCTAAGCATCTGTCTGTCGTCACTTCTCTCTCTGATTCTTTGCGCTGCGTCTACCTGATTCTCAGGTCTGACTGTCTCGCCTTTGTTCCTCACTTGGTTACTTTCGTATCCGCGTCGGTCGGATCTTCTTCTGTCCTTCCCTTTCTCTTTCTCTTTTTTTCTTTTCTTTTTCTTTTTTCTTTTGTTTTTTCGTTTTTTTTTGTTTTTTTGCTTTCTCTCTCTTTCCCTCATACCCTCTTGTCTCTGGTCGGCATTTCTTTTTTTTTCTGCTTACTGTTTTTCTATGTTTGGGTCCGGAAAAAGTCGAAGGGGGGGGGGTGAGGCGGTGGGTCGAGAAGGGTGGAGGGGGAAATGGACTTTTGGCCATCCCATGCCCCGTCAAACGCCCGCTTCTCCCAAAGCGTGTTGCATGCATGGGTATGTAGTATGGATGAGGACGAGCAAGTCCTGCGCGCTTGTGGGCGAAAAGGAAGCGAGGAGGGGCGCCTGGGCTGTGGGTTGGGCTGTTGTCCCCCCTCCAATCCCCCCCCCTTCCCCTGCGCAACCGCACTAGACGCGTGCATTCAATGTCAAGATGTGTGTGGGTGTGAGTGATAGTGGTTTCAGCAAAAACCGACAGTTTCCGAGCTTACAGACGCAGGCTTTGCGAGCGCGACGGACTGACGAGATTGGGTGCACAAACTGCTCTGTCCGGCAGCCCTTTTCATTCATTGGAGCAGGTGCTGCCCCCGGACTGAGAGAGCCTAACCGTGCGAAAAGTTAATTTTGAGAAGACAATGATGGAGAGGGAGGTGAGGGGAGAGTGGAAGGAGGGGAGGGAAGGAGAGGGGAGAGAGGGAGATAGGGGATGGGAGCTAGGCTGGTGGTAGTCTGAGGGTGATGCTTTGTTTCGACTTGAAATGAGAGCCTAACTGAAGCTGAGTGTAGTGAGAGGAAGAGTACACGTGATTGAGCGAATGCTGGCGAGCATGCTGAGGGGAAGGGGGGGGAAGGAGAAAAGTGTAGGGTGGAAGGAAGCAAACTGAGGGCTGTGGACGAAATTGTTGGGGATTTGCTTTTGAGGTGATGTGTGAGATTGAGAGGTGGGGAAGAGGTGATTGTGGGTTGGTGAGATGTTGAGATTAAGTGTGGAATTGATGTGGATGGATGGGAGAGAGTAGAGGAGCGGGAGGAAGCGGATGAATGGAGAGCCGGGAGAGCGAGCGGCATGCGAAGAGGAGTAGCAGTATCACGGGGAGCAACGGGAGCAACCAGAGCAACAGGAGCAATAGCAGCAATAGCAACAGAGAGAGAGAGGAAGGGGAAGAGAAAAGGGGGAGGCACAGAAATTTTTCTCGGAAGATGAAGGAGGCGGGGGTTTGATGTACTGAGGGGGGGGGAGGACGGCTTTTTGGAAAGGGGAAAAGGAAGCTGATGCCGCTGATGCCGCAGATGACAATGAGCATGAGCTACATCCGAGGAAGGCAGTAGTACAGAGAGAGCGATAGAGGAGGAGCAGCAGTAGAGGGAAAGGGAAGGAAGAAGGACCAAGAGTTTGGCTCGGAAGATGAAGGAGGCGGGGGAAAGGGTGTGTTGGATTCTTTGTTTTGCTTTTTTTTCTTTTTTTTTCTTTTTTTTTTCTTTTTTTTTTTTCTTTGTTTTTTCTTTTTTTTTTTTTTTTTTTTTTTTTTTTTTTTTTTTGCTTTTGTGTTCACATTTGAGGACAAGGCAACAAAAAGAACGAAAGCAGAAAAGCAGAAAGCAGACAGGGAGTGAGGCTCTGCACCCAGGCACTCGCGTGGGAGTAGTAACAAGAACGAGTTGGACTACGAAGAGAGGGGAGGAGTTATCTTGCTCGGAAGATGAAGCAGCGCGGGAACGGAAGATGAAGGTGAGCGGGGAGAGTAGTTATTGGGCGAGTTTTGAGTTTTTTGAGTTTTGAGTTTTGAGTTCTGAGTTTGGCCGAGGCAGAGTGAGCTAGGAGCCAGGTGTGAGCAGTGAGAGAGTGAGTGAATGGGTGAGTGAGTGCATAACTGAGTGAACAAGGAGGGAGGGAATGGTAAAGTTAGTGAACAGGAAAAAAAAAGGCCAAAATCTGACCGGAACATGAAGGTGACGGGGGAGGAGGTTGGTGGAGTTGGCCAAGGGCTTTGAAGCACAGGCTTGGCAGGTGTGCTTGCACTAGTGTGTTCGTTCGTTGGCTCGTGTGGTAGATGATTCACAGCGCAAGTGCAGGGTGATGGTGGAGGTGTGAAGGCGGAGGAGAGCGAGTGGAGTTTGCAAAACAAAAAGCTCGGAGGGTGAAGCTGACGGGGGAGAGCGTTTTTGGTTTTTGGTTTTGGTTTTTTTGGTTTTGGTTTTGGTTTTGGAGGGGCTTCAAAGTATTTTGCAATGTGAAAAAGGGTTGAAGCAGTCAAAGAGTGTATTTGGAGGTGTTTTGTAACAAGAGGGCAAGAGCACGAAAGGCAGAACAAAGCAGAACAGAGCAGAACAAAGCAGAACAAAGCAGAACAAAGCAGAACAAAGCAGAACAAACAACAAACAACAAACAACAAACAACAAACAGAAATCAGCAGTTGGGAATTGCGAAGGTCTTGTGAGGAGGTGCGTTAATACCATTTGCATACGCGTTGACGCTGAACGAGGCCGGAACGAGAGACGAACTGTCGGGGTAGGAGATGGAGATTTCAACGGCCAGAGGGGTGCTCATCTTACTGAGGTCATTGGCAAGCTCTGCCTCCATCCTGCCCCAAGTGCCGTTGGTGGCATTGATAGCAGCCGCCATGGGGACCATATTAATAGCCTGACCGGAGCCACCGTTAGCGGAACGGATCAAGTGGCCGCCGTGATAGCCTTTGCCGGCAAGTTTACCGACACGCGATTGCTGGTACAAATGCCGGTCAGCCTTGGAATTCTTGACATAAAGCCCGAACACGTACTCGACACGACCCGCTTCGTCTGTCACGTAGTAACTGTTTTCGACGATGTACGCGCTGTTGGGGTGGCAAGCATAGCTTTTGCCACCGCGTTTCAAACCCAATTCCCGGTGCCACTGTGAGGGTGAGGAGCGCTTTGTTCCGGATCGTCTGTGCGTGATCCGACCTGCCGGGTAGCGGCCACGAAACTTCAGATGGGGTGAATGGGCAATGTAACGTGTGTGTGCGGCATTGAGAGCAGCTTTAATGTTAGTCATGGTTTCAAAAACAAACCACAAAACACAATACTTACAAGGGTGAGAAAATAATTTGGACGAAAAGTGTTGTTTGATGGTTTGTGAATGCTACTAAATTTCTTCCAAAAATTTTCAGTTTTATTGGATCATGCGTGTTTACAAGCGAGGATGCACGCAGACAAGCGCAGCTACGATGAATGGATGTGAGTACTTTTAACCTGAATGTTTTGAGGGAAAGGGGGTTAGAGGGAAGAGGAGAGGAGAGGAGAGGAGAGGAGAGATGGGGGAGAGAGAGAGAGAGAGAGAGAGAGAGAGAGAGAGAGAGAGAGAGAGAGAGAGAGAGAGAGAGAGAGAGAGAGAGAGAGAGAGAGAGAGAGAGAGAGAGAGAGAGAGAGAGAGAGAGAGAGAGAGAGAGAGAGAGAGAGAGAGAGAGAGAGAGAGAGAGAGAGAGAGAGAGAGAGCGCGAGACGGCCTACGATCTAATGCCAGACCTGCCTCGCCCCGCTCCTCGTATCTCATACGCTCACAAAGACAAAGCAAACACAACACTACACCCACGTCTATGTCTGTTTTTGTTTTTCTTGA